TTCCAGGCGGCACTTGATCACTGAAGCTATTCTGGACTTCCATATAATCACACGAGCAAGCAATGCCACCACAACGTTGAATATTATAGTCTGGTAATGTGAGCTCAACACGGTATCCTTGCTTCCCTATAATCCTCCAGCTACACGTCTGGTTGAATGGATAGTTTCTTGGATTAAAGGGAGAGGAGAAAGAACCTGATGTTTCATCGAGGATCACATCTGTTGGGCACACTGAAAAAAGACTGCCAGCTTTAGTAAAATGCATCTTATTTACTGTAAAAACTTAATTTACTGAATGAAAAATCTTAACGAAGCTTCATTTTCTCCGAAAACTGTTCTAATTTGATGAGGTTTACAATCCACTGTGGTCAACTGAATGATTTCAAATACCGCCTACAGCTCCTTTTCCGTATGTTGGCGGTTTCCTACTTTAATCAATATAACGATTGTGAAATATAGCAGCTTGCGTTGGAGTAAAAGGCTTGACTATATGCATTTTTTTTTCTACAGCCTATAGCTGTTCAAAGATTGCTTACTTTGTTATTTGCATGATCACTCGAAAAATTTCCCTCTCAGTTTAATAGGGGTACATGCTCAATACACTTCTATACTTCCGGTTAATAAACTACCATAGAAGAAAATTAAAGCTCTTACGTGAATCTCCATCTATCGCCTCAAAGGTTGCATTGAACCCTTTGTTTACAGGGCCGGTGCGAGATTCAAATCTCACTTGAATGAAATTTCCTTCGGAGTACACAGGAGGGGGAAGCTTTTGACCACAGATCTTAAAATCATTAGGATTTCCTCCATGAGAGGCAACGTTTGTGATGAAGACTCGGGCACTATCTGCTGCCGCTCCAGTACAGTCATTGTTTTCACCTGCTACCAGGGTAAAATTCAAGAAGGTCAGTTTGATGATTTTCCCACCGGGTACCGTGATATTCCAGGTACAAATCCTGTTTGCGTCATAGTTGTTGGGAAAATTGAGGCTGGAAATGTGACCACTAGCAGCATTAATGGACTCTCCAGGAGGGCTGCAGGCTGAAAAAAAAGGTATCTTTTAGTTACTCTTTTGGTTTCTTACTCCAGACAAAAGAATTCCAGCAAAATCATACATGTTCAATACACCCAAACCGCTACGATTCGTCTACGGTCGTTGACAAATCCACACAGCGGAAGTCGAATCGTGTGTTAACGTACCGGAAGTCAAGGGGCGTGAGCAATGAGTGAAAATAAGTAGCATGAAAAGAGAAAATGACAACATAACCTTCCACGTTCTTAAATCGTGAAACGGCCGGAAGTCCATTGTCAGAATATTATAAATATTAAATTTAACCTTCTTCCTTCCTAAAGCGTTAAACAAGGGCATTAACTGTTGACGAATCGACACGATTCGTACGGGTTGACACGACTCGTCATTTGTAAAGTCGATCCGTCTCTCCGGAGGTCGATTCGCAAAAGAAGACAATACATACTTAAGCGTTAAATTAGAGTATTCAATGTTGACGAATCGACACGATTCGCATGGATTCGGCATGTGATTACCTCGTTTCTAAGCGGTTTTTTTTTTTTTGAAAACGACAACTTTGGAGACGTGCGACCTGACAGCAATATGGCTGGCTTTTACGAAGATCGTGTTGGTTTTTTCGTATTTTCACAGTCCTTCATTTTGTAGGAAAGAGCTTTTTAAACTTATTTGGTCTCACATCGGTTGTTAAGAAGTATGCCTGCGGAGATAAAGAGGAATTTGTCGGTGGGAAGCGAAATAGGCTGGATGGCGACGACGCTTTTGTCTGTGAAACAGAGAGTTTGTTATATTTATTTCCCGAGCTTGGCGATGTTGAGGTTCGTCTCGCGGAATATTTTCTAAGTGTCTTGCAAATCAACTTCCGGTATGACGGGTCGACATCAACTGAGACGAGTAGTTCGACTCGAGTCGAATCGATTCGATTGGACAACATTTTCAATGACCCTTGGTAGTTACTTGCGGAGTAAGTAGATAGTATAAGTGTCTTGCAAATTGACTTCCGGTATGCGTTTCCATCTAATGAGGGATAGTTTATCAGATTTTCGATTAACCACGAATCGACTTCCGGCAGAACGATTCGCAAACTGCCTTTGACGAATCGTAGCGGTTTGGGTGTATTGGACAACATGCAGCGTGCAGATATCTTTTCAGCGAGACCTACACACCTGGGCTCGACATCAAGCAAAGAAACTCGAAAGAGAGCTGTGTACCAACTGGCTTGCACGTGCACGCAAAGGTCATTACATTCAGCGAAAACAATGGCAAATGCAGACGATAATTGCAGTAAAAAAAATTGGCAAATAAAGTAACAGAAGGTTTAAGAACTTTCTTGAAGTGTTTCCTTGAAAAAACAGATAAGCAATCACGCAGTCACGCTACAAATACTACTTCTGCGTGGAATTTCTTGATGGTGGAAAGTGGAAAAAACATTTTCCAGTCTTCTTTTCTGGAAATATGGCGCAGTTAATGAATTTTATGGGGCTTTTGATATTTCTTTTCAAATGAGAGAGCCAGGGTTTCCCGTCATCCACAGTCTGCAAAAGTTGTTACACACGGCAACTTGTACGTCAACAAGCACGCGACATGTGACTTTAAAATCTCCCCTCCTGTTACAGTTTCCTCATTGTGAACTGTGCGATAATGTTAATAGACGATCAAATTATAGACTAATGAATGTTTTGTTCCGCACTAAAGCCCTATTTCCTGTTTTTAGCAAATCTACAAAGTAATAAACGACTGAATAAAGAAACGCTACGATATTCCCATCGATTTTTCGCCTATATGCATCTCTCTAAACGAGAAACGATTTTTTTGATGGTTTTCAGAGATGAAACGATGGATTATAAAGGGGAATCAAAAGTAGTGTTGTAGCTTCCTGACAAGGGGAGATATTCGACCTCAAAGTTGTCAAATATTTGGATGAATCGAGAAGTCTCAGAACACGGTCGTTTATTTGCCTCTGTTGATTGACAAGCCATCACTGAAAAAACTCA